GTGTGTGTGTGTGTGTGTATTCCTCAGCTGGTAGACACTGAAGTGGCAGGTGCTTTCACGGCAGGGGAAAAACAGAGTGGCATTTAGCACTGTGCAGCTGACACAGGGCAGTCTCCAGTGACGGCAAAAGAGACAGCAACAACACTCCCACACACCAACAAACACACACCTAGGTATTCTTGATTGCACACCTACTGAAGTCAAATAAACAAAACACTTTCCCACACACACACCACAGCTGTGTATTTTCACATACTATAAACCCAGAGTCTTCAGAGTGTCGCTGTTCTCCCAGTGGAAAGCTGTGCTGACCCTTGCCCCGGTGTACTTGTTTGTGAGGTTTCATTTGCATGCAGAGCTATCAAATGGGAGCGGAAGTCTTGGCTGACACACACACACACACAGCCTGTCTCTGCGGCTGCATTTCTTCCCTCATTCGTTGTCTCCTCTCCCTCTTCCCCGGCCACGAACAAGAGCTGTTTTCACAAAGCTGGATGTGATCGTCATTCTCTAAAACAAACCAAACCATTCATTCAGAGTCCTCACTACTACCCCCTCCTCAACTACACACACACACACGTCTGTTCTCTCTCTTTGCCCTATACATATACGCTGTAAAAGAAAATCAGATGTCAAATCTAAAGCTTTATAGACACTTGACACAACACTTACATTAGAAAGGAATAAAAACACACTAAAGGGGCTGACGCATTTATATAGAGACTCTGATATCTGAGATACAACAATATGGAGCTATGGAGTATTTGAAAAATAACATCATTGATGGGGCCACCTGTGCTGGCTCAGCTCGGTCTCTTCATTGCCATGGGTGTCGGAGTCACAAGAAAATAGAAACACCGGGGTGGGAAGTGGTGGAAAAACCACAGTAACAGAATCAACCTGACAGAGAGAAGCGGGAATGCAGTGAGGTCATGGGACCAACGGTCCATAACAATCTGAGTGTGTGTGTGTGTGTGTTTCTGGTGGGGTTGGGCCAGCCAGTGGCCTGTAGAGGCAGACACTTGGGTGAGAATGACTGAGATCTGCCGGGAAGGGGAGTTGAATCACTAACAGGTCCGATTAGCAACCAGGTGTCACCATGTACATTAACACTAAAAAAATATATTTATATATAATTGTATGAACAATGATGCCATACAACAATGTGGCATACAGGGACACACACACCGCTATTCAAACACATGCTGATCAGAGAAAAGTGTGAGTGGGCAGGGAGATTTGGGGGTAAAGGGGGGGGGGGGCATTGAGAGAATAGGACAGAGGTCCAGCAGGGGAATGAACCCAATGGCCCCAACCCCACCTCTTTTTTGAGCACATACACACATACATCCATCAGCCCCTGCCAACAATACACGTCTGCGCCCCCTGTCCCAAACCCACCCACACACACAGGCTCTGTTCATTATTTATTTAGTTCTCACAGGCTAAATTTAGCCATACTCCATTCAGGGCTAGAACACACACACAGAGGCATGTATTAGCAGCCTCCTCTCTGGTGCTTCAGGAGCATAGTAAACATGCCTGTCGATGCACCGCCTGCTAGAGTAACTCTGTGCCGCTGCGCAGTGAAATGAATGAGCTTTTAGGTGGAACTACTCCTAACTGTATTTCTGAAAAGCAAGAAAAGAAAGACGATCATCAACTGCACACAAGCTTCTGCAAATGACAGAGCTGATGATGCGTGCTTCCTCCTACAGATAGGGAGAGATCAGCAGGCTCAGATCTGCTCTGTTTACATTCCTGCCCTGCTGGCTCCTCCCCGATCTACAGCAGCACTCCAGCAAACAAACGCTGACTGACTCTTCACCTGACCTCCCACACCTCTGTCCGACCAACAAAACAACAACAACCACTGTTAACTCTGTCATCTCATTGTTAGAAATATTCCAGATAACATGCAACTATTCTCTTCAGTCTTATCCAGTTTCTACGTTTACTCATCGGTGAAGCGCTTGGCCTGTAAAATTGTAAGAGAAGCCAATCGCAGTATTCCAGAGCCAAAGTTGACTCATTAAAATTACTTGTTTTGTCTGACTTTCAATTTACCTTATCACATGTGACAAAGAAAAGCAGCAAATCCTCATAAATGAAACTCGTTAATGGTGGGCTTTTTTGCTTTAGAAAAAATTACTCATCAATTATAATTAAAATAGCTGCTGATTAATTTTCAGCCGATCAATTAATTTTGCAGGCTACCAAACATGCTCAAATTCTACAAGTTAAAACAAATCCAGAAGCCATTGCTACATATTCTAGCACTGCCTCCATTATTATCATTGCCCAATACTATGCTTAACTATATTACACACCTGTATGGAGGAGCATTAACACAGCCTTGGGGCCCGGAGTGATTTATGATGAGCAGGACTGTTCATGAATGAGAAACTTCTAATCAGCCAGTAGACTGAGCTGACCTGCTGTGTGTGTGTGTGTGTTAGTACTATATAGCATGCGTGTTCCTGTCACACACAGAAGCTCTATCTCTTCTTCTACCTCTAGACAAAACAAGCTACTCAACAATGTCTAATCCTGAAGTGAATGTAATCCTTCTTACCTCCAAGCTAAATTAAGGATATGGTAGGCTGACTTTGTTTTTATCTAGCACTGGAACATCCCGCCCTACTTTACTCAAAGAGTTATGTATCAGACGGCCAGGAGCGCCGTGTATGTGTGTGTGAAGGGGAGGGGTGCACAGGACAGGTGAGCACGAAGACTGTGTGTTCCTCCAAATACTGTATGTAATCAACTGATCAAGTACAGGCATTGTTACAGGTATGTTATAGGTTTAAAATAGGCTCTCTGGCTGCAAAATGAAGACCTATGATGAATGAGCCTATTAGTTAACTAGAGTATGCACTTTCTCCAGTGAATACTATACATAAATGATGATCTGTGCACAACCTCACTGCTGTCAAAACACATCAAACCTGAAAGACAAATAAATTGTATTAAAGGGGTTATTGTTTAGATAGATAGATACTTTATT